CTGTTGTTGCTGTTGCTGTTGCTGTTATTGCCCTACCTTCCAGTATGCATTTACAAGTTTGAATAGTCTGCATAGCTTCATAAAAATTCTACAAGTCATTGAATACTTTTAATGTTGACCACACAGGGCAATGCTCGTATTTACATGGAGCCAGAGAAACTGGTTATTTCTCGTTCAGGAGACGAATGTGTTGTCTCTCTCTGTGATCAATGGTGAGTAGAATGATGCCTCTTTTTCATCAATCCTTGCTTATTATCTGTTGCTGAGGAGTCTGTTTTCATTTACTTTTACCAGGTATCTAGAGTACGGCGAGCCGTCATGGAAAGCGCAAACAGCAGAGGCCTTGTCCAACTGTAATACGTAAGTTGAGAAGTGCAATGAAGTTGCGCAAAGCAGCGCCAGTATTTGCAAGGATGTCCCCAGTACTGTTAGTCGACCAAAAACGCCCGCTACCTTAAACACTGCGCATAAGCATAAGTAATCACCTTGTTAAAGAAATGTTAAAAACGTATAGTATAACTTATGGAAAGCCATTTCAGTGTTCCAGTATGTCGTAGAGTGTCCGTGCTGTAAGTCAGTACCATATGTTTCCCATTTATACGAAAACCATTCTTATGGGAAGCCATTTCAGTGTAACGACATGTCGTACCGTGTACGTCCTGTAAATCACTACCGTATGTTTCCTACTCATACGAAATCGGCTCTCTATAGTATGTATGTATTAACGAATGACATGGATTGATTTTTTTATTCTTCCGCAAGGTATTCTGAAGACACGCGCAAAAATTTCATCGCTACCTTAGACTGGTTGCACGAGCATGCGTGTTCAAGGTCATACGGTCTAGGTAAGAGAGCTTGACTGAATAAAAATGGATTGCCAAATACCAGCATCCTTTCATATGCTACTGTCTTAATTCTAGGAATAGTCGAAACCTTAAGAAAGAAGCCTACAAATTTTATCGGTACCATGAAACAATCTGGGCTGATCGAAGTCAGGGTACTGCTAACTCGCAGACTGAATTGGAATTTAGCTGGCTAGGTTTGGCAGAGGGACGAAAATCGGAGAACCCGGAGAAAAACCCTCGAACCAAGGGATAGTCCTAACAAACTTTACTCAGATTTGATGTTAAGTCCAAGAGTCCAATCCCAGACCCCTTGATTTCCACTAGAGACTTGGTTTTGAAATGATCACTTTGTTACTTGTTTGTATAGGAACGCGTTTGCCCTGGGATGAACAATACCTTGTAGAATCCCTATCTGATTCTACTATCTATAACGCATACTACACCGTAGCTCATCTGCTACAAGGAGGAGTTTTTGATGGATCAGCTGGAAGTCCGTTGGGAATAAAGTGAGCCTTGTTTAACGAATTGATTTATGATTTGCGCAAAAGAAAACTAACGAGTATTCTAATATGAGCCGCATCGGTATGGGAATGTGATGAGGGAGTTGAACAGCATGTTATTAAAATAGTATACACTCAATTGAAGAATCGTTGCCGGGTTCAGAAACATAGAACATAGAAGCTGAGACCGAAATGGCAAATGTGAAGTATGTTAATTAGATGCATGCTGTGACTGGCGACCCGTGGCATCATCCACTGTTTTTAATACACGTTTGGCATTCTAAACCGACTGCATGGATGGCGYAAATGAATAAATTATAATATAACTATGTCATTTCCCATGTGCCATTTCGGTCTCAGCTTCTATGTTCTATGTTTCTGAACCCGACAACGATTCTTCAATTGAGTGTAGACCACTTTCAGCAATTCCCAAAGCAGCTCAATTCAGAGGACAAACAACAAATTTAAATTTTCAAGAGAGTAGGATTCTTCTATTTTATCCTCCAAGTTGAACTGCATTGGGAATGTGCTGCAAGTGGTATGTGCTTAACTAGTTCTTCGACGGAGCATAGTTAACTATTTACTATGGTCGCAGTAAAGAAGTACAAATGGCGGGGTAAAGACAATTCTAGTAGTTTATTTTGTCTTGTAAGGTTGGTATAATGAAAATTCCTTTGCGCAACTCTTCTTTGAGTAAGTTTGCGTCACCCAACCTTCAGGGCATTGGGGAACACGTGATTGTAAACCTATTATTTGGGTGTTGAGCGGAGTGTCTTCCTTTGCGCAACAGACCTCCTCGGCTCTGGAGCGCTCGAGCGTAATGTTGTCCCATTTCAGACCACGTGTCATTCCCTTGAGAATAATATTCTTTTTTTGAGTTGTAATCTTATTCATGTGTCTTCTCATGTGCAACCGTTAAACAAAGAGATGATATTCTAGGGAATGACACGTGGTCTGAATTGGGAAAACATTACGTCAGAGCCGAGGAGGTCTACCCTCTCGAGATTACTGTGCCTCAGCACAACCCACATAAACAATAGCAATATTGAAGTTATCGTATTTTCTTGGGAGGGGGGAGCGTACAAAGAAAGGAGGGTCTATAAATTGACACCAAAAAGGAGACTAGTTGGATTTTTAAAATATAGATTTTTWAAAAATTTTTAGAGCCGAGCAAATGACGCGGGAGGTCTGGGACTATGTATTTTTTAAAGACGCTCCATTCCCCAAGACGGACATCAAAAGAGACGCCTTAGAGTGAGTACAATACTTTATTATTAGTTATYAGTATTAGCTAATAATAATATGCGCACAAGGACAAGGTGGTTCGGAATCGTAAGCGCAGAGCATCATGGTAGATTGTGATCTTTGATCTTACGGCGCCATGTTTTTTCCTATGAGAAAAAAAGATCTTTTGTTTATGAAACCCGCGGAACCTCGTTCTGAATCGCTTGAATGCGAGGCTAGGTGAGGAAAACGCATTATTTCAGCAAACATTGAGCGTGAAAATTATCGATTAAGCTGAAAAAGATGTATATATTTATCGAACGACCGTGAAGCATGATGGTCATTGTAGTCCGGTCCCTTTAGAGCCCAGTCAAGAGTTGCGTTATAATAAATGAACAGAAGGTTCATCTTCTCTAAAGAGTTTTTAAAAAGTCAACATTTTTACTGAGCAAGAAGCTTTAACCTCCGATACAGGTTATAGTAATGTTTGCACCCATTTTGAAATATGAAATATCTTTGAAGCGCTTCTTCTTTTTAGCTTCTCTCTCTCTCGTTCTCTTTCTCTCTCTCTTGCTTGCATGGTTCAGTCTTAATTAATAGTCGTGGAAATCACTGATGGTTAACTTTGCCGATGAATTGGTATAATTGCAGCAGAAAGATCGCGAGATGCGCCTAATTTTTCAACATCAATCTGAACACCATCCGCCATCCGCGTGGGGACGTTAAAGCATTGTAATGCACCTTGTGATTTAAAATATACTCGGGAAATATTTTCTACAAAAACTCGGATTTAAAACCAAGGAAAAGAAAAAAAACGTTATCTCATTTGTTCAAGAAGCGATGAAGAATTTTTCAATATCAATCTGAACACCATCCGCCACCCGCGTGCGGACGTTAAGGCATTGTAATACGCCTCTTAAAAAGCATGACCCAAATAGCTTCGGAAGTCGTCCACTTCCTGCAGCAAATCCGAAACGACTCATTTAAAACCAAATAAAAGAAAAAAAATGTTAGCTCATTTGTTCGAGAAGCGATGAAGAACCGACATTGATACCCGTGTTGTTTATCCTTTAGTTGAGCTTGAATATCCGTTTGGAGCTTATTGATCCGCCGCTACCCGATAAATTACTGTGATTTATGCCTGGTTGTTTGATGTTTTAAGTAGACGAGTCTCTTAGATGTTCGAAAATTGCGAAAGATGTTTCTCTTTGGTGTTTTGGGGGAAAATAATAACAACTTAATCCAGAGTAATTTTCCACTGCTCGAAGCTATAGAATTAAGATACTGAGAAATCTGTAGATTATTGGTTAATATTTTGACGAGTTTGATTTATGATGCCTTTTTATATTAGTTTTGTTAGTTATAATATTATTGAAAAGCGCGGGGTTTTTTTTAGCGCTGGAGAACGCGTGAGATTTTTTCAAAGCGGGAAAACGCATGAAAACAGAAAAGGCGGGAAAACTGCCCAAGTCCGCAAAAACGTTATATTATTAAAACTTTTAAGACACTGAGTTTTGAAGAAGTTAAAAAGTTTGTAGGAAATTGTTCTAGAATTAAATCTCTGAAAAAAGCACGAAGAAAAGGCGAAAATGTCAATAAAATGAATCGCCATGCATTTATTTTCTCTGTACATGAAAAAAGTCGAGTTCTTTCTTTCCATTTACTGATTAGCCGGCTTTAATGTATGTTTGTCTTCAACTACACATTCTCGACCACGTTCTTTCTTGGCTTGTTGGAGAATCACTATTTCGGCGTGTTTGTTTCGAAACATCAAATCTAGAACTCACTTTAGCATGCTTTCGTTATCAATGCAATCAGACGAAGAGAGATACCCCCTTACGTTTTCCGGATCACTTTTGGCTACATAGTATGCTGATAACTCCAAAAGGGCGCCATAAATCACAAGCAGATTATTAGAGATTACATATATCTATCGTTTGTTCATTTGTTTTACGAAAACATAGGAAAAGTGCTTTTCTGTTTACTCTGAAATCGCAAGGAATTGTTTCTTTCTAAAAGCGAATTTGGAAATTAAGTTTTTTTGTCGTTGATCGAGATGAGATTTCATTTCTGGAATTTTAACGCGGTAGATCAGACAAATACAGCCCTTTGATTTGACTGCTTTCTCTCTCTGCATGTCTAACCGAGTCAAAATTTTTTGCTTTCCT